AAGTATCACACATATGGAAAGCATAATCAGGCATACTATCAGCAGTTCTCCTAATTACTCTCCTACTTCTATCTCTAGCAAGTTGATAATCATGCAAATCATTCTCACTAGAATCCGCACTCTCATCATGCGATTCATTGTCATTTGAATGCACATGAGAATGCTCCACCTCACTCGAAGTGGTGGTAGTATCATGCTCAGAAGAATCAGAATCATGCAATTCAGAAGAATTAGAATCATGCAAAACAACATTATCATGATTAGCAAACAAAGGGCTAGCAGCACGTGGTATGGACTCCACCTCAACGGGTGTACTACTAGGATCAGACTCAGACTCAGAAACAGACTTAACCAGACAAGGAAACTCGGATTCATTGAAAACAACGTTTCTACTCACCACAACTTTGAAACCTACTTGGTTCCTATCCCAAACTCTATACCCCTTCACACCCTCGGGATAACCTAGGAAGACTCCTTTCTTAGACCTAGGATCCAACTTGTCACCTTGTTGGTGCACATACGCTGCACACCCAAACACTCTAAGATTAGACAAATCAAGGGGTTTGTTTGAAAAAACAGATTCAGGGCACTTCCCACCCAAGGGAACAGAAGGAGACCGGTTAATCAAGTAGACAACAGTGTTAACTGCTTCACCCCAAAACTTTTTAGACAAACCGGCGGTAGCAAGCATACTCCTAACCTTATCTAGAACAGTCCTATTCATCCTCTCGGCTATCCCATTTTGTTAGGGAGTATAGGGCACAGTTTTGTGCCTTCTAATCCCACAATCAACACACAGTTGGTCCATATCCTTATTGCAAAACTCTAGACCATTATCTGTCCTAAGGGTTTTGACCTTCTTACCAGTTTGATTTTCTACAAGGTTTTTCCACTCCCTAAACTTCACAGAGACATCGGACTTATGCTCAAGGAGACGGACCCACACCTTCCTAGAAAAATCATCAATGATGGACAGAAAATATCTCTTACCCCCGTGGGTAGAGACACTAGCAGGACCCCACACATCAGCATGAACATACTCTAACACAGAGGTACACTTAGTAGGATTAGGATATGGGGAGGAGGGGAATGTAACCTTATGCTGCTTGCCTAACACACAAGATTCACAGAAGGGGATGGGGGACACAGAATCCTTACCAAAACAACCAGATTTATGCAAAATCTCTAAACCCCTATTACTCATGTGTCCTAATCTATTATGCCACAAAGCAGATTTATCAGAACTAACAACATGAGCAGAATCACAGAAAGGCTGAGCATGACACACATACAAGTTATTCACTTTTTTTGCCTTAAACAAAACAAGGGAATTTTTCAAAACTTTCATGCACCCATTACCCCATTTACCCTCTAACCCACTACCCTCAAAAGCAGCAACAGAAAACAAGTTATGACGCAAATCAGGAACATGCCTCACATTTTTCATAGTAAACACAGTCCCGTTATCAAACTTCAAGCATACATCACCCACCCCATGAATTTTGCATTTCTTATTATCAGCAAGAGACACAAAACCATCATTGCAAGAATCATAAGAAGAAAACAAGGATCTAAAAGGTGTCATATGATAAGTACAACCAGAGTCAATCAACCACTCATTTTCAGTCATGCTACTCAACACAGAATTGACAGAATCACAAATCATAAAAACATCTTCATGCAAATTATTATCATCTACCACATTAGCATGTTCAGACTTCTTCGGATGGGGACAATCCTTAATGAAGTGACTAGAATTACCACAATTATAGCACACTCTCTTCTTAGACTTACCTCTCTTCTTCCCCGGGTCATTGTTTTTGTTCTTATCGTTGTTGCCCTTCTTATGGTTTCTAGATCTACTCTTAGACCTACCCCTCACAAACAACGCTTCACCAGAGTCCCTAGACTGACTGTTACTACCCCTCGAGTGTCTAAGGTCTAACTCCTTACTCCTTAATCCATTAATGACTACATCCAACGAGATATCATCTCTACCATACTTTATGGCAGATTTGACGTCATTGTATGAGTCAGGGATGGCATTAAGTAACACTATGGGTGTGTAGTCATCTATGTGTTTATCACCAGCTTGCTTAATATTCTGAATAAGCTTGTTAAACACATCTAGGTTCTCATCTATGTCCTTAGACAGGTCAAGCCTAAATCTAAAGAACTTCTCAAGCAAAAACAATTTACCAGGCAAAGAAGTATCGGTATACGTCTTATCTAACTTGTCCCACAAAGCCTTTGCAGAATCTATAATACCCACCTTCCTGAGTACTGAATCAGAAAGGTTCAGGTATATAGAGGAACAAGCAGTTTCATTCATTTCATCGCGCTTAGAAGCATCCTTAGAGTCTAAATAGAGACCAGTCACTGCTCTATAGACTTTCTGTTGGATCAACACGCATTTGATTTTCTGTTTCCAGATATCAAAATCTGTCTTTCCGTTAAATGGAAGCATGCCATATTGATTGACAGCCATATTAACCGGAAAGCAAGCACAACACACACGAGAGTAAATAAAAAAAAAATATCAAGCAAAGAACAGTACGAAGCAACTAGCACGAACAAGCCGAGACGACCAATGAACACAAAGCTCGGGTACAATCTCCTTGTTCTTTCGTACCGTACGAAGCAACTAGCACGAACAAGCCGAGAAGACCAATGAACGTAAGGCTCGGGTACAATCTCCTTGTTCTTTCGTACAAGCAAGATAAAATTTTTATTTACTCAACAGACAGATAAATGATTAATTATAACCTATAGGGCTATCAATTGTACGAAGCAACTAGCACGAACAAGCCGAGAAGACCAATGAACACAAAGCTCGGGGTACAATCTCCTTGTTCTTTCGTACAAGCACAAATAGACTAAAATTAAATCAACAAGCAAAGAAACTGGATTTAAAACTAATCCGGACAGAAATATTCCCAACTTTGGACAACAAGTATCCAAACAAATATTCTTAACCGTAGAGTTTATCCACGAATCAAACAACAGAAAAACAAAATCAAAATTCAACACGCGATTAAATTTAAACCGGAAGAAATATTCACAACTTTGGACAACGAGTATCCAAACAAAATATTCTTCACCAGAAAATTAATTCACGATTCAACAAGTAATCACAATTCAACTAACAAGTAAATAGCAATTCAACTTGAAATTAAAACAAATGAACTACGAATAAAAATCACACAAAGGATTAGTAAACGTACCAGGGACCGGGCACAGCCGGCATCCAAGACCACGTAGGTCAGCAGCGGGCAGCGGGGAGCGGGGGAAAAAAAAAATCCGGTGGCACTCCGGTACACCAATGATGTTTATCGCCAATTTACCTGAGCGGGGCCCGAGGTTGGGTTACCCGACTTACCGTAGGCAGCGTGGGCTGCTGTAGGGCTCGGTGGCAGAATCTGGATGGCGGCAGCGACACCCCCTGGCGACAGCAGCAATCTGGTCCGGCAGAGGCACTCTTGGACTCCGGCAGAAGACTGTTTCTGGCCGCTGGAGCTTCTGGACAGCAGTTGGACTCCGGCAGGTGGTCTGGACAGCTCCGGTGACTTCTGGGAGGCAGCGTACGGCGGTGACGCGGCGGCAGACGGCGGCAGGAGGCTCCCCTGTCTCTGATACCACTGTAATGTGGCTACTCTTCCAGCTCAGGTCTCGATTTATCACCCACAAAGGATGTTAAAATCACCACCAAGGTCAACAAATGGAGAAGGGGCAGCAGCCACCAGGTTTTCCGGCCAAACACTACGGGTATTCCACAGAGGAGCAATTTAGGGTTCGAATTGGAGAAGGGAAGTTTCGGCCGGCAAACCAGAGAAGGAGAAGTACGAAATATATATAGGGTCAAGCTCAATTTCATATATGGAAACTTACCAAAGCACATGGAGATACGTATATCAGTATATGCTCGAACAAGGAAAGAGGAATCAAGCTGTGAACAGAGCAAGAGAGGCGAGGCAGATAGATCGATTAAATGATGGGCCGGGTAAACATTCCCACACTAGTTTGGGCTTAGGGAAAAACAAGGACCAATACCAACACATACACCTAAGGCGACTTGTATTATGGCGTATTCTGATGCAGATTGGGTTGGGTGTCCTGATACTTCTCGCTCCACTACTGGTTATGCTATTTTTCTAGGACCAAATCTTGTATCTCTGATGTCTAAGAAGCAGCCCATTGTTTCCAAGTCCTCAACAGAGGCAAAGTATCGCGCTATTACCTACACAGTGCAGGACACACTACATATTTGATCCATTCTGTTTGAGCTCGGTTTTCCTGTCACGACACCGGTACGTTTGTTCTGCGACAACATCTCTGCTTCCTACTTAACAGCCAATCCTTTTCAGCATGCTCAGAGTAAGCATATCCAGATTGATTATCACTTTGTTCGTAAACGAGTGACTCATGGTGATCTTGTAGTTAAATATGTACCTACTAGTCTTCAGCTGGCCGGATATATTTACTAAGAGTCTTTCTAGTCAGCAATTTCATTTTTTAAAAGACAACATGCGCGTTGTATCTCCCGCACAGTTTGAAGGGGTGTAATAGCCTAATATTAAATTAGGAATAATTTGTATTTTTGGAAACTCTTATTATTATAAATATATCTTTCTGGTACCCTATTGGGGAACCTTTCCCATCATTTCAAAATATATATATATATATATATATATATATATATATATTTTAACCCGGAAGGTAAACCACCAAAATCAGTGGGGCAAACGCCGGGGAACGTTTGCCGGGTTTTATTAAGAAAATGAGAAATGATACAGCAGAAGAGAGGGGCTAGGCCAAAAACCTCTTCAGAAAGGGCATTCCCTTCCAGAAGTACAGAGATCAGAAGTAGAAACAAAAGATTTTTGGGGGGGCTATACCTGACCCAAAAATTAAAAATACAATTAAAACAGATATCGAAAGGATGGGAGCCCAAAAATATCCATATTATAGGCCCTTTTAACTGATAGAGGAAGATCCCTTACCCGATTAAATTCTTGCAAATGGGCCGGCCCATCAGCTGCCAGCAAATGGGCAACCCAGTTCCCCTCACGCATTGTATGTATCAAAGAAATTTTATTGTCTGAACGAAGTCCGCTTTCCTGAATATCTCTACTCCATTTCCGCATCTCCAAATCTTTCAGGTAGGAAACCGCAAGGCTGGAATCGGATTCCACCTGAAATGCTGAGTAACCCGCATTAACCGCCCACTTGATTGCCTCAAGGATCGATTTAATCTCTGCCTCCAACGCAGTTGAAGCCGATAGCGGATAACGAAGAGCAAAGCACATCTCACCCTGTGGATTACGCATGATGGCACCTCCAAACGATCGACCAGGTACAAAGGATGCATCTGTATTAAGTTTGAAGCCCACCTTTGGCTTATTCCATTTTATCAACCGAAACCTAGTTCCCGTAAGTTTGAAATTACTGGGAATTAGATTTTCTTCAAACAAAATATCACCAACAGACAGTAATTTGAGATCAGTCAGAGATAGAGCCCAATGTTCAGTGTATATTTTGATAGTCTGAATCGACTGAGAGGAACTAGGTGGCTTGACTGCATCTCCCCACCGTAGATTTGTATATGCTTTCCAAATGTTCCAACATATAATACCTGGAAGATTATGTTTAAAAACATCCACAAGAGTTTTACTACCAGCTTTTATCCACCAAGAGAATAGAATGCTTCTTATTGATATATGAGTCTTAGGAACTGTAATGTGCATGATACCCATAAAATAGTTCCAAATGGGTTGAGAAAATTCACATTTATAAAAGAGATGTTCCACAGAGTCTTCACTCCTCCTGCACAATGGACAAATAGATGGATTGACTGCAATTTGAAAACGAAGCAAATTATTAGTGATAGGTAGACTACCAGTGAGGAGTTTCCAGAGGAATAGCTTCACTTTTGATTGTTGTTTAGGATGCCAACAATGTTTAAAGAGAAATGAGCTTCCAGCTTCACCCCTAATGAAATTATAGGCTGATTTAAAACTAAACAGACCATTGTCTTCTAAATCCCAGAGACATACTCCTTCTGGATTTGTAGAACAAATGGAAAGAGCCTGAGAATTAATAGAACAAATTCTCCTCCAAATTGCTGAATCCAGTAACTTTGGAACACTGTCTGCATCTCTTTTATATCTGGCTTTAATAAAAGAATTCCAAAGGGAATTTCCTATTTTCCACTTCCACCAAAGCTTCAAGGTAAAAGACTTTTCTAAGTCAGAAAGTGATCTAATACCAAGGCCTCCTTCTTCTGTAGGTACACAAAGATGTGACCACTTTTTCCAGTGATAATTCTGTTTGGTATTAGACGAAACCCAGAAAAAATTTGCCATATATATATATACATATATAAACTGTTTAATGAACTTGCAAAAATAAACTGTTTAATAAACAGTTTAAACAGTTTAATAAACAATTAATAAACTCTTTAATTGAAAAAATAAAGTTGAATAACTTTTTTCGAAATTCATTAAAAAAAACTGTTTAAAACTGTTTTTTTAATAAACAAAACAGTTTTTAAGTCTAAAACAGTTTTTAAGTTGAAAATGGTTTTTAAGTTGAAAACGGTTTTTAACTGTTTTCGAAATTCATTAAAAAAAAAAATAAAAAAAAAACTGTTTTAAAAAACTGTTTTAAACAATAAAAATAAAAAAACTGTTTTCTTAAACTGGTTTTCTAAAAAAACAGTTTTAAAATTTAAAACAGTTTTTAAGTTGAAAACGGGTTTTAAGTTTAAAACAGTTTTAAGCCTCCAAATCTGATTTTTTGTACACTTTTTAAGTTTTAAACAGTTTTTAATTAATTAATACAAACAAAATTAAGTTCACTACGTTTATCAAAATTGATTATAATACAGTTTTAATTAAAATTTGGACATGTTAAACTATTTTTTAGTAACTTTTAAAATGTTTTTTATAACTTCCTTATAAAAAGTTAAAAAAAAAAAAAAACTCATGTGCATCTAAATAAAGTATGCCCCTCATGTAAACTTGCAAAAGTTTAACATGTTACCTTAAAGACTAATCAATACAAAAATGTATTGTATCAAAGTTATAAAAAAATTAATTGAAAAAATATCGACCCCTCATATTAAACTTATACACAGTTTAATATGTTATACACATTTTCAATTGATAAAACTTCTACAAAAATTTGATCTTCTATTATAATTACACTAACATTTAAAAATATAAATTAATATATTTTAGATGAGCAATGAGCAATCAACCTCGCGTGCCCGCCCGAACTATGTGTCCGTAACCGAAGCAGAGCGCAACAGTGAAAATCTGTGTCACCTCACGGAAGTTGACACCTCACATGGTTGCAAAGTAACTATGAATTTTATCTAATGTCAAATAATTTTTTCTAATGTCAAATAATGTAATCAAAACTTCTATAAATAAATATCATTAATTTTTTGAAGCGATCAAGAAGTGTTGGATGAAATCAAAACCATAGTTGGAAGACACTTTCTTAGGAACTGGGCAACCTACACGGAAGTTGACCCCAAGGTCCGTGAACTTTGGTGGAACCTGTTCAAGGTAAAAATTAATGAATGTTCCCTATGTAATTGTAGTAACTTAAAATTTGACAAATGATAAATTAATTTATTTATTTTAATAAAGGGCCGGTTTCAATGGACTGAAGCACAAAGCCCAACTATTCTTAGAGTGCATAATGCTAGAGTTTCAAACTGGCTTCGTCCCACTTTTAAGCATGCCCGAGCCAATGGGGTAAAGCCTAGATGGTGTTCGGATGAGGTGTGGGGTAACCTCATGCGCCACTGGTCTTTGGATCCAAACTCCTTGGCAAGGAGTGAATCCGGTAAGAAAAATCGGATGTCCGAGAAGGCATTGGAGACACAATGGCACGGGGGGGCCGCAAACCTCAGAGTAAACATAAAGAAGCTCTTGTAAGTCTTATTCAAATAAACCTTACACCATTTTCACCCTTCATTTTTTACATTTATTTATGGATTTTAAGCCTTTTTCGAACCATGTAGGCGGGGCCTGAGAAGAAAAAGGTCTTGATCCTCAAGGTCATCAGACACTATTGGACGAAGCACGGCGATGAGTCGGAAGCTGATCTGCCACCCCGCCTCGCTGAAATTGAAGTAAGTAACATCATTTTTGTTACTTAGTAACATTCGAAATCGAAGTAAGTAATGTTTCAACAATTTTTATACATGTAGACGAAGTATAACACAACCGTTGAGAAGAAGCGTGCGGAACGAAGTTTGACCGACGAGGATGAGCTCGATTCCGATGCGATCGTTGAGGCAGCTGGGGTGTACAAGGGTCGGGTTCCGTGCATGGGGGCTGAGGGGCAACGGATTTTGTACGACCGCAACGGCGCTTCATCTTCTCGATCAAGGCGTGGAGAGGATCCACGTATCGCCCAAATGCAGTGGGAATTGGAGGAGGAGGAGCGCGCCTTAGAGGAGCAACGAAAAAAGGAGGAAGAAACAAGAGCCCGGCTGGAAGCGATGGAACGAATCTTCAACGCCGGATTTCGGTCTCAGCCTCAGCCGTATATACTGCACCCTGAGTAGACAGCTCAAGTTCTGCAGATGGCGGTTATTTCCGTTCCAACTCCGGGTCCGGGTTGCCTTCATTTGGATCTTTTTAGGATGTCCCTTTTCAGACCCTATTTCAAACATCTGGAGGCAGCCAAGGAGGAGGCAGCCGCTTAGGTAGCCGTGGAGGCAGTCACGGAGGCCAAGGTGGAGGTAGTCGCGGAGGCAACCGAGGAGGCAACCGAGAAGAAGACGAGACCGAAGATGATTATCTAAATTATGATGAATCTGGATATTATCATAATGGCCGAAGGAGTTTGTAATGATACATTTTTAATTTAAATTGAACATTGCTTATATAATAATTCTAGTCTGTTTATGAAATGCGTATTCTAGTCTGTTTATTACTTTTATTCCAGTTTGTTAATTCTACAACTATTTTTTTTTATTAAATTTTTTAAAGAAAATTTAAAACATAATTTTTACTTTTTTTTAAAATGAAAAAACTTTTTTAAAAAAATCAAAAAAATTAGTCACGGATATGAGCCGTGACTGAATTTTAAACCGGATTTTGAAGATATTATTTATAAATTCTTTTAAAAATTTAAAAATGATTTTTTTTTAAAAAAAATAAAAAATATAGTCACGGATAATGTCCGTGACAAATTGAAAAATTTGAAAATTTGAAAATTTGAACCCTAAAAATTTGGCGGTTTATTCCAAAATTGAAAACTTAGTCACGTATTTGTCCGTGACTAGTATGTCTGAATTTTAAAAAATAAACAAATATTAGTCACGGAACGGGTCCATGACTAATATTAAAACAAATTAGTCACGGATCATGGTCGTGACTAACGTGCCGGCGTGGTTATTCCGGTCACAAGTTAGTCACGGACCGTGTCCGTGACTACGCGTAGTCACAGATAAACGATTGTGACTACAGTTAGTCACGTCCATTTAGTCACGGAAAAAATCCGTGACTACCAGAGTTAGTCACGGATTTTTGACACTACGGTCCGTGACTAAATCCGTGACTACTGCCGTGTTTTTTTGTAGTGATGTAAGTAGGCAAGTAGCTGGACTTCCCAATTGACAAATGAAATATTAAAGAACCTATCAATAACTAAAAGAAAGAAAATGATAGAGCATTATTTTCTCCCGCTTAAACATGTGTTCACCTCAAAAACAACAATATACACACACATGTATATATATTGTGAAAAATAAAAAGTGTTTCCTAGGTGAAAAATAAGAACTAATCTAGGTCATTGATATGAAAAAGAGATCAAATATTAAGTGAAAAACGCGGTGACATTTTGGTAATTATGAAGAACTTTAAATAAAAATTTTATACCAAAAGTGTACCAACATATGCAAAAAGTGTACACGCAGAGTGTAAAAGTGCATAACAGTACATCATAAAATGTGCACAAATTTAAAAAAATGGCAATCTTTGTTTATTCTTATGAGTGCACTTTTATTCATTTAATATTCACTTTGTACTATAAACGTTTGCACATTATTTGAGTTAGTATCTTGTGATTAAAATCCATCTAGTCCATCCATTTACACTGATTAAAGGCTAAGATTTGTTCTCACTTTTCATGTGATTAAAGACTATTTTCTACTTGAAGTCACCCCTATATATATATATATAGAGAGAGGGGGGGAATAGCATTGTTCGTTCATCAGTTGGGGAATTGCTGGTGGTTTCGTTTGGTAAGAGTATTTAAAGAAATGGCCTCAACCACTGAGAACCATCACCACTGAGAAAGGCTAAATTTTTACAGGCAAACATGAGGATTTTGGTAACTGGTGGTGCCGGTTTCATTGGTTCTCACCTGGTTGACAGGCTAATGCAGAATGAGAAGAATGAGGTGATTGTTGCAGACAACTATTTTACAGGATCGAAAGATAACCTCAAGCAATGGATCGGGCATCCGAGATTTGAGCTCATACGTCATGATGTCACTGAGCCATTGATGGTTGAAGTTGACCGGATTTATCATCTTGCATGTCCCGCTTCCCCAATTTTCTACAAATACAATCCTGTGAAGACAATTAAGACAAATGTAATTGGGACACTTAACATGTTGGGACTTGCAAAGAGAGTTGGTGCAAGGATTCTGCTCACTTCAACTTCTGAGGTTTATGGGGATCCTCTTGTGAGAGCTATTGGGGCAATGTTAACCCAATTGGAGTAAGGAGCTGCTATGATGAGGGAAAAAGAGTTGCTGAGACTTTGATGTTTGATTATCACAGGCAACATGGAATAGAAATCCGAATTGCTAGAATTGATGATGGACGTGTTGTTAGTAATTTCCTTGCTCAGGCAATTCGAGACGAGCCTTTGACTGTCCAGTTGCCCGGAACACAAACTCACATGGTTGACGGGCTCATTCGTCTTATGGAGGGAGAACATACCGGACCTATTAACATTGGGGATCCAGGTGAATTCACAATGCTTGAACTGGCTGATACTGTGAAAGAGATGATAAATGAGGAGGTGAAGATAATAAAGGTGGAGAACACACCGGACGATCCCCGGCAGAGGAAACCAGACATCACAAAGGCCAAGGAGTTGCTCGGTTGGGAACCAAAGGTGAACTTGCGAGATGGCATTCCCCTCATGGAAGAAGACTTCCGTGGCCGGCTTGGTATCCCAAGAAAGACTTACTGCACTTTATATATGCGCAGAATGTGCAGTAAGCTTCAAGAATTTATTTGACTGCCTTCCCGGTCGAATTTTGAGCTGAAATTTGGTATGGACAAACTAGACTTGATGAGGAACATGGTCAAAAAAATTCATCGAAAAATTCCACTGGGAAACGCCCCAAACAGTGAAGTTCGGACGGCTGCTCCCGTCCCTCCGGAGGGACCTGAGCATTTATATATATATATATATATATATATATATATATATATATATATATATATATATAGAATAAAGATCAAATGAGAACAATGCTTAACGTGAGAACGTGAGAACACCACATTTACCCCAACGTGTTGCACAATGAAGCTTGTATATTGCACTTTTTCATGTTTTCACAATAATCACCAAAATGCCACCGTGTTTATTTAATATAGGCTTAAATCGAGCAAATTGAAAATGTGCAACAAAAGAGCTCCATTGTGCATCACATTGTTTTAAATGTGAGTGTTCTCACGTTCTCACGTTAAGCATCGTTCTCATTGGAACCGCACCCTATATATATATATATATATATATATATATATATATATAGAGAGAGAGAGAGAGAGAGAGAGAGAGAGAGAGAGAGAGAGAGAGAGAGAGAGAGAGAGAGAGAGAGAGAAATGCTCGGGTCCAGCTCCTCCCGGTCCGAACGCCGTCCGAACATGGCCATTTGGGGCACTTAACGGTGGAATGTTTTGATAAACTTTTTTGAGCATGTTCCTCATGAAGTCTAGTTCAGCTCAAAATTCGATCGCGAAGGCATTCAAATCATTTTTTGAAGTTGACTGCGTTTTTATATGTATGTTTTGGCGCAGTCAACTTCAAAAAATGATTTGAATGCCTTCCCGATCGAACTTTGAGCTCAAAACGTTTCATCAAAACATTCCACCTTTAAGTGCCCCAAATGACCATGTTCGGACACTGTTCGGACAGAAAAGTGTTGGACAGGATCATCCCTCTCTCTCTATATATAAGACAACCGCCTCACCGTGCCTTGTTGCGCATTGCAGATAGCGAACGCCTCTGAGAAACATAGCGTAAGTTTCTACTCCTGTGCCTTTGGCAATGCAATTTTACGCCTTTCTGTAGAATGTCCCTGAGTGGCGTGCCTCAATGCGCTATTGCATTGTGCAATTTGAATCAATACATAAGATAGATAAAAGATAAAAAAAAAAAACATAAGAAAGATAAAAGATAAAAATAACATAAGAGCATAGTAAGATAAAGAACATAAAAGATAAAAGAAAACGAGAGAAAAGAGAAAAGAGATCAATCGTTAACACGAATATGCGCCCTCCACTTTGCTCTTTCCAAAGCTATACTCTCATCCAACCCAAGAGGACCCATATTAGTTCTGATTCTTTTAATCCAAGTTTGTTTGGGTTTACCTCTCCCTCTCCTCCCGCCTCTTCTCCCACCTCTCAACTCGTCTAAAAGGGGCATCACTCCTTAATGATATGATGATACAGTTATGTAATTACCTTTTACTCAGGAAACACGCCCCGAAGTGATAATAATAAATAACAAAGGGGCAGCCCGGGGCACATAGGCATCCCCTCAAGGCGAGGGTCCGATGAAGAGTCCCACCACAAGGGTGTATAAGGAGCAACCCTTGTTGCAAACCAAAAAAAGGTGCAAATAGACCCATGTACTAACAAAAAAAAAGTCAAATAAGCCCTTATTTAGGAGGCTCTGTCCGGTCATCACCATTTGGGGTGGTTCCCGGTGAAATTTTTTTATGACATTTTTTTAGCATCTTATTCATCAAGTCTAGTTTACTCATACCAAATTTCAGCTAAAACTTCAATCGGGAAGGCATTCAAATGAATTCTTGAAAATAACTCCGCAGTTATCTTCAAGAATTCATTTGAATGCTTTCCCGATTGAAGTTTTAGCTGAAATTTGATATGATTAAACTAGACTTGATGAATAAGATGTTCAAAAAATTTCATCAAAAAATTCCATCGAGAACCATCCCAAATATGACGGCCGGACAGAACTTCCTAAATAAGGGCTAATTTGACCTTTTTTTGTTAGTACATGGGCCTATTTGCACCTTTTTCCTTCATTAAATGACAGAAGAACAATTATACGAGTATTTTTTTTATATATGCCGTCTATCTATCTCATTTGTATCCTGCCATGCCACCTCTTCTATTATTCTTTTCCCTTTTTGGGATGTGAACTTGTTATTTTACGATTTTATTGTTTTTTTTAACATACTCAAATTTCATTTAATTCTATGCATTAATATAAATTTTCTTTTGCTTTCTAAATATATAAGTTTTAGTTTTTGAAAAAATATATTGTTACAATTACGGAACATATGTTCAATATAAGAAATGTTTCGCCTATTAACTAACATACACAAATTTTCTATCAAAGGTCGATGCTATATCGCAAAATTAAATACGTGACTTAAATATCTTTTATTACTTAATTGTTTTCAAAAAAAAATCTTTTATTACTTCAAACTCATATGGTTACAACATTGTCATAAATGTGAAATATGTATTGCTCATAAAACTGGTTTGACACACACTATATGCATTTGGATGATATTTACATCAATATTCTTCAAACCCGTTAGGTAAATCTATTTTTCGGCTTATCAGGCTTATCAACCACCTTTTTAACCAAACAAGTAACTTTTGATTTCGCGCGCTGAATTTTGTAATAATATGAAAAAGTAATGGTGTAGTTACTTTTCTGACTATATTGGCTGAAATTACTGTAGATGACTATTTTAATTTTTTTTCATATAATTTTTTCTTTATTTTATTAATAAAATATATTTTAAATATAATTTCTCATAAATCAGCAGAATCAGCCAATACAGCCACTTCAACCAGAACTTCATAAATTTCAGTTGAATCACCCGATTCAACAATTTAAGTGTTACCAAATGAGCTCTTAATGTATTTGTACATAATCACATATTTTCCACATAAGCATATATTTTCCACACAATAATTGGTTGACATAGAATATAATTATTTTGACAATTTTTAAAATATACGTAGTACATGATATGTAAAATTTCATTAACTATTTACTAAACTCTCATACCAATATTGCATATAAAACTTTTTTACAAAAGATAACATTATTTTAATATTGGGCAAACACTATCGCGCCTTGCGCGAGTAATCGCTAGTTACAAATATAACGACCAATTTAACTTGCTTATAAAATGGTATAATTTCTGGACAATTCATGAGGATGCAATGTAAGTATGTGCAATTTTTAATTCTTCACCCACAATGTAACGGTGAGTCACAACTCCTCTGCCTTTACTTGGGTAATTGAAAATGGAAACTACATTTTCATATAAATCTTCGCCAATGTCATCGTTCCGGGCAGATCTCTTTCTTGTAGTTATGACTTCACGCTCAAAATAAAAAGATGAGAACGTTGAGATTTCTTGTTGAATATACGCTTGACAAATTCAAGCCTGAACGTGTGCCTTGTTGGTCACTTTCTTTTTCAACTCTCCTAGAAATCTGCAATGTAAAATAAAAATTGTAAACAAACAAATGTTCTTATGAAATAAATATTCAAAGATAAATCAAATTGTGACTAACCTTTCAAATCTGTACATCCACGATAGAAGACGGGTCCAGCAGTCAAAGCCTCATACGGAAGATGTACTATAAGATGTTCCATTCCATCGAAAAACGATTGAGGCATAATTTTTTCCAAATTACACATCAGAATAGGAACAGACTCTTCTAGTCTCCGGAGGGATGTTGCATCCAAAACGCTGGAACATATCGACTGAAACAACAAACTTATTTTAGTAATACAGGACCATAGTGTCCAAGAAGCATTTCTTTCAGTGCAATCGGCAGAAGTCTTTGCATGATCACATGAGCATCGTGAGTTTTCATGCTCGACGTCGTGGTCTGTTTGTTAATGTCCATGCATTTAGACAAGTTGGAGCAGTAGCCACCTGGAAACTTCAGAGACACAAGCCACTATAATATTGATGCCCTTTGTTCTTCTAGGACTTGGTAGACTGCTTTTGGAATTTCGTTTGTAGTTTGTTCTAGATCAACAGAAAGCTCGGGTCTATCACACCACATTGTCATATCTTTTCTAGATGCAAGACCGTCTTTAGTTTTCCCTTTGAAATCCATCACCGTGTTAAATATATTGTCAAAGACTTTCTTCTCAGTGTGCATGACATCTATATTGTGACGAATGAGAAGGTTTTTCCAATATGGTAACTCCCAAAATACACTCCTCTTTGTCCACTAATGGGTATCACAATACCCATATGGCTCCTGATTTGGCTCTTGCACAACTGTAGGAATACGTCGAACCCAATTAAAAATTTCTTCGCCAGTCAATCTCGAGGTGGGGTGTCTCATACCACTCTACCTCTAATGAAAGACTTCCTGTCCTTTCGATATTGGTAGTTTTCCGTGAGAAACTTGTGGTGACAATCAAAGTAACTTGGTTTTTTACTGAAAGTGAGCCAATTGGCACCTGACTTCTCCATGCATATCGGACATCTCATAAGACCGTGTGTGCTCCATCCTGAAAGCATACTATAGGGAGGGAAGTCGCTAATTGTCCAAATGATGGCAGCTTTCATGGTAAACATTTGATCTCTTGAAATATCATAAGTTTGTGTCCCAATGGCCCATAGTTCTTTCATCTCCTCAATAAGGGGATGGAGATAAATGTCTATCTTTTTCCCTGGATCCTTGGGACCCGGACAAATTAAAGTCAAAAAGATGAAATGACTTTTTGTGCACATGTCGGGAGGGAGATTGTAAGGAGTTAACCTGACCGACCAACATGAATAGTTCTTCCCAAACCTTCCAAACAGAGCAAATCCGTCTGAACACAATCCCAGTCGCACATTTCGTGGCTCCATTGCAAACTGAGGATGACAATGGTCAAAGTGTCTCCAAGCTTCACAGTCCGAAGGGTGAGACATCATACCCTCTTTGATTTCGTGCTCAACAT